GGGGTAAAGGGAGACTTCCTCAAAAAAAAAAAAAAAAAAAAAAAAAAAAAAAAAAAAAGATTTCCAGTTAAACATGCCCACATCTCCAGAGGTAAAAACTTTCAGTTCTGCCAGTAGGGTGGATATTGACTTCAGTTCCACATAGACGGCTACGCCCTGGCCTGTGTTTTCTTACAGACACAGCTTTGTTCTCTAGCGTCTTTTGGAGTTGAGCCTTATTTTGTCACCAGTTTTTAGTCAGAATCCATTGAGGACTGGGATGATTTTGCTATTGTTTCTTGGTAGGGACTGCTGGAATCTGAAAGTCTTGTGAGAAGACATGGCCAGAAACCAAGTCAAGTGTACAGCCCATGATGGGGTGGGGTTGGGGTAGAGGGGGAGACAAGAGCCAGAGATTCCCTCTTCCCCCTCCCCCTCCCCCTCCCTCTCCCCCTTCCCCACCCCTGTCTGCTTTACCTTGTCTTTTTGTTAGTCTGTCTCCTCCTCATTTTGTTTTCTGAGACAGTCTCCCTGTAGCCCTAGCTGACCTGGAACTCCCTATGTAGACCAGGCTAGCCTCGGTCTCACAGAAATCCACCTACCTCTACCTCCTGAGTGCTGGGATTAAAGGTGTGTGCCACCACCTCTGGCTTCTTCTATTCTTGGAGTTCCCACATACGGAGAAGTCTTTTAGTTGAAATAGACATAAACAAGCCAGCCTGCAGACACAGTTCTCAACAGCCCTTTCTTTCTCTTATCAAGGAAAGGCCTGGAGTGGGGGCAGCTGACTTTTGAGACTCCCCTTTGAAGTTTCCCAGCAGCATATGCTTTGCCAATCAGACAGACAGTAGCAGTCACATGAGGTTGTTTCTGCCCTCCCCCCTTCCCAAGCCAGATTTCAAGGCCTCTTCACTCAGGCAGCCCACCTGTAGTTTATCTCAGGATGTACAGATTTGCCTATTGTGTGTGTTTTATCTCTTGGGCAAGGAGCATGGGGTTGGGAGTGGGAGATATAAGCTCAGAGGGACTTGGACCTGAGTCTAAGACGTGTGATTTGGAGTAGGGACATGAAGCTCTAAAGTGGTCATGGCTCTAAGGTGGCCTGGCTCTTCAGTTTTACCCCTACGATGGTGGAAGGGTGGGCTCCAGATGAAGTCACTCCAGTATAAGGCTGTGTTGCCCAGGCATGTGTGGTGGTCACCCACTCACATTAGATCAAGTACCTGAGGCTGAAGCTGCCAGTGGCTCCTTTTCATCAAAGACTGGCTGTGAGCCAGGCACCTCCCTCAGTCCTCACACCCATCCTGGGACCATTTTATAAACAGGGAAATGGAGATACAAAGGTGTTCAAGGAACCTGCCCACACAACAGAACGCTGGTCTGGAATTCAAACCCTGGGGTCCAAAGCCCAAAGTGGTTTTGTAAGATGACCCTAGTTAGCACCTGGCTCTGTGTGGCCGTGTGGCCCCCTCCACCAGGCTCAATGAATCAGGAAGGCCTTACTGCATGCCAGCACCATGCTGTTAGACTCTCAGAAGCACAAGCTAAGTAAATGTCTTTTCTTTATAAACTGTCCAGTCTCACGTGTTCTGTTACAGTAATAGAAAGTGGGCTGAGACCCTTGGCCATGATTCACGATGTGAGTTGAATGATGTTTATCTGGGTAATGACAATGCAGCTTCGTCTCTGCCCAGGGGCATGACAGAGGGTGCATTCTAGGATGTGGGTGTGGCCTGGTGCCCTGCTGGGTCTTCAGAAGTGTGGGGGCATGACAGAAAGCACACTAACCTCAGTGTGAGTCCTGCTCTACCATGTGACCTTCCTGGGGTGGTGGAAGTATATAAAAGCACATGGCTCATAAGACACCTAGCACAATGCTTGGTAATCAGGAAAAACACATAGCACAGTACTAAGTACCCAAGGAGTAAAGCACTTAGCACAGTGCTAAGTACTCAAGAGCAAAACACCTAGCACAATGCTATGTACCCAGCAATAAATCACTGTTAAATATCCAGGAGTAAAACACCTAACACAGTGCCAAATATCCAGAAGTAAAATATCTAACACAGTGTCATATAACCAGAAGTAAAACACTTAACACAGTGCTAAGTACCCAGGAGTAAAGTGTCAAGTACCCAGGAGA